AAGTATGCGCAATTAATAAAAAATAACAATATTTAAATAGAATTAAATTTTGGAAATATTTCTTACGCTTTTAAATTTCTATAAAAATAATATTAGCGAGGTTGCGGCCGAAGTTTTCATCTCTAAAACGTGAACGTCGAACGTCGAGCGCCGCTATCTTGTAAGCGGCGCTCGACGTTCGACGTTCACGTTTTAGAGATGAAAACTTTGACCCCAACCTCGCTATTATTAGCCATAATCTCTATTGAAACGGGTAACATGGCCACGTGATAATGGTTATCCATCATCACACGAGGAGCATCTTGCATCTTATACAGTACATGACACCCCTCCCTGATGTACAAAATACCCCTCGTGTGATGATCTATAAGATTACTCTCAAATCCTTCGGATAAGCATTGCATGAGATGGCAAAGTCGTGTAAATTCAACATCCAACAACGCGAGGATGAAGAAGAGCAACATTTGATTATTTTATCCATAAATGAATGTATTAATTCAACATGCCCGGCCATGTTTAAATATTTTAAAGACAGCAGCTTATAGTTTCGCGTCACGAGATTACAGCTGAGGCCTTAGATATTCGTTTGATGGAGAAGGGCCTCCCTCATATATGTTACGGCTTAGATTCACAACAAATTTAAAAATTTTAAACTTGCATGCATACTGTACGGCATTAACGTACAAATCGAGTTGCAATCATTAATATTCTTAGCAAGGCCTTTATATATTAACTAGGTCGTTGTATATTGTTTCTATAAAATTAATTATCTTTGAAAAATTGAATTTTAATTGAATATTAAAGCCTCTGGGATTATGTCATTATTCTCGATATTTGTTAAAATATTTATAGCAATATCAAAATATGTATGACATACGTGAAATATGTTGTAATTATTGAAGCTAAAGATTTATTACTTCATTTGATTTACATTAAAATAATTTACAAGTTCTATTTGGCCAAGGGTTTAATGACTGCCAACTTCATGTTTTATTTATCTGATGAGGTTAATATATTTTCTATTTTTTATTTATTTTTTTTAAACTATTCAATGCCTTTGTTTTATCTTTCTACAAACTAATTTTCTGTTCGTTTGTCTGTTCGTTTTTATTTATTAATGTATCCAGGTTAATTGTTTTAAATTTTTAATTTATGTTTTAATTACGAAGCATTGTGATAAAGCAAACGGCCGCCATTTTGAGACAAAAATGGTGGATGTATTTAACAGAGTGTGAAATATNGTTCGTTTGTCTGTTCGTTTTTATTTATTAATGTATCCAGGTTAATTGTTTTAAATTTTTAATTTATGTTTTAATTACGAAGCATTGTGATAAAGCAAACGGCCGCCATTTTGAGACAAAAATGGTGGATGTATTTAACAGAGTGTGAAATATTTTTGAATTAATTTTAATAAAATTGAATTATTTTTATATATTTAACAGGATATTTATCCTGTATTAATTATTTCAAAATGTTTGTCAATATCGTTAATATTATAATTTTTCGGAGTTAAAAAATCCAAATTTTAATTACACAACCTATTGAAATTTATTAATTTAGTCTACAGAATATGTCAAAATATAATACATTTAATTTTATAAGCTATCGAATTGTGTACAAATTGTAAAACCCATTAAATCCAGTTAGTAATTTAAAGTGTGGTCACGCGAAATAACATTAAATTTTTATTTTAAATTCTGTTTAGAATATTAAGTAAGTACCAGTTAATTAACAAATAGTGAAGGTATTGCTCTTATGATTTAAACAAAATTAAGTAATAAATTATGTTTTATTCTCCTAAGTTCCGTATCCCGAAGAGAAAATTAAAGATTAATTCGATAGAATTATTGTATGTAAATAATAATATAAGTAAAAAAAAAGAGAAAACTAATTGGAAAGTCGAATGGTTAAGTCGGTAAAAGCATCAACTTACTACGCTAGGGAATGTGGGTTCGAATCTGATACAGAACCCGCACGACTTTTTAATAGTTGATATGTTAGACCCATTCCTCATCACCTGACCACCCCTATCGTGGATTATTATCAAGCGCTATACACTACACAATCCTTGATATATTTAAGTAATAGTCCTTGGGTTATTATGAGTGATGTCAAGTTCACAATTGGTATAATTACAACCACGATAGTAACTTCTGGTTGAACTCTTGATAGGTATGATTAAATGGTCTTCCTTGATGTCCCCAGGGCTAGAAGAGGAGAAAAAAGGCATAGAAAATAGAATATTTGTATGATTATCGATTTTGGACAGGTGTTAACTTATGAGGACACAATAATATTTTCGTTCCATTTCTATATTGGTATAGACTTTGTCAATCGAGAATGGCAAACACTCGGTGTTTGATGTCTAGAGGAAAAAAACAAATATTAAACTCTTATTATTTGTCCATCTTCCTGCATTATTATAATTTTATTTCCTTGGTCATTTTGTCATTTTATTTTAAAATGACAAAATGAATTTTTAGTTTAAAGACTAAATTTAAAAAATAAATAATAAAAAAACATTTTAATAATTTTTTAATTACTTAACCTCGGATTAATTCTTTTGTAGTTTTGTAGTTGAATATATATATATATATAATCTTTATAAATATATATATATATATTTAATAAAGAGAAAAAAATTTTATTAAAACAAAAATTATTGTGACATTGTCACAATGCCCTGCTGCAATTTTTAATCATATTCCNAAAATATAGATGAAATTTTATATGTTTTTTGAAATTAAATATTATTTAAAATATATTAAAAGTTAAAATTGGTATATTTTTTAGTTTTTTTTAAGTCACTTGCTAAACATTATAAAATTTTTCGTAAGTAATTATAATAAATTTATATTATTTATATTTGTCACGTTTATTTGTTTTTAATTATAGTTAACAGATGGAGCCACGTGTAAAATGTTTAAAATCGTAGTGTAAATCGCGATCACCCTTTTTGAAATGTGTTCCATGACAAACAAAATTGCATGTAATAATTAGAAAGAGAATAATATTTACAGTTATAAAATAATTATAAGATTCTCCACATTACATCCTTCTCACTTAAACGTATTGTCTCACATAACCAGTAATCATCAGTTTATGAAAACAATTAAAATCTATTTAATTTCTTGAAATTGTAATCAAATAGTAACTTATGATTAATATATGTTAGACTAACGTCTTTTAGTGTGGAATAAAGAAGCATTAAGCACAGCATCTGGTTAATTGTAGGAATAAATCACTATTGTGGCAGGATGGCATTTTGATAGACTGCCAGTGGGAGGGACCTCTTCGATTCTTGTCTTTCCCCCTATGGGGTTAGACTCTCGTTTTTAGTATTCAAACAAGGTAAAAAATGGAATGTAAAAGGATAAAAACTAAGTAAACGCTTAATTTATCTGGAAATGAACAATGTCTCTCTCAAGAGAGTTGAATAATTTTTTGAATAAAGAGAATCGAATGATACGAATATTTAAATATTTGTAATGAACAATAATAAGTGTTCTTTAGACAATTACTTAAAACATATTTCTTACTAATAAAATTGTATTAATTAAATCTAAATTAGAATTAAATAAAGAAAATTTGCTTTGAAATTTTTTCCATTATCGAACTCATTATAATTAAAATAATTAAAAGTCTAAAAGAAACGTTAACACAGAAAGAATTGTTGATAACCATTTAGCTATCAGCAGTTGCATTGTAAACGTGACATTCTTTTGACATTTAAAATTAATTGTCAGTTCTTACTGAATCACCAAAACTGTACCCACCAACATTTGGTCGAAGTTACACTTGTTTTGCCTAATGTATTGATTTATCTAAAAATAGCAAGTAGAAAAGGGATTTATGGAAATCAAAGATTTGGGATGGTTTAAGAAACGATTTTCGATTACCAAAAACCAATTCGGGAGATATTTGGTGGGCGATTTAGTAATATACAAGTGCTTCTCTTAGAAAATATTAATTAATCATAATTTATAAAGTATTTATCTAAAGAACTTTCCAAACTGGGTTCGTATAGAAAACATCGTTTCCTATGCATTGTGAATGTTCTGGGTTTTATATGAACTCAGAAACCACAATTTTCTGGGATCTATATATCTTGGAACAACGACTTCAATACAAAATTATAGCCTAATTATTATTTTAATTACGTTACATTTAGACATACCAATTTCTTAAGTGTGTTGGCCGGATACCCCCATAATAAAGTAAATTTGGATCCTGTAAAGCTACTATTTACAGGATCCAAATTCGGATTATGTCCAGATCCTTATAATTTGTTATGGATAATTTATATCGAGCATCATTTCGGATACATCAACAACTCTGGTGGAACCCATTGCGAATCTGGCTACTCAGCAGGAGTGAAAATTGGGCACACAGTGTGTATTGAAAATACTCATTATGATATAGCCCATTGCAAATTCGTCCATCTAAAATAAGCGACAGTTGTGTTTATAGTGTGAAATAAAATTGTACATAACAAAAATCAGCTGTAGGTGTACTGAATGCCTCGTGTCATACAATAAGAAATTTATACAATTAATTCAACAATTAGGCACCACGTTTGTTCTGTTTCTTAGCGTACATTTATTTAATTTATTATTTATTTCAGTAAATATTTTTAAAGATGAAAATTTATAGTACGAGTCTGAATAACGAAAAGAAAGTTAAAAATTAGCTTATCGCGTTATTTATAATTAATTTTGACTTTTAAAATTATTTTTAAAATAAAATAAATTTTAAAGTACAATAAAAAATTTTATTAATTCAAATATAAATCTATTTTTCCATTATATTTTAGTTACGTATCCAATAAATATTAACCTTTAATACTCTGAGGTAGAAAAATATTAATTCATTAAATTTTTAATGTTATAAATGTGTTAAAATAAAAATTTATTTATTTATTTTAATATATGTACTGAGCGATCCCAAAATTATTATATATAATTACTTTTAATTATATTTTTATTATTATTATACTTGGAACATGAATGAAATAATTAACATCTTTACACACGTGTTTACAAAAAGAAAAGAAAAATCACCAAAAATTCGGAATTATATTTTCAAATTACTTCTTCAGAGATCTGAAAGTCGGTGTTTGACTATTGATTTCAGATTCTTGAATTGTGAATAACATACAAAATGATTTCCTGAATTCTCTTCGAAATTTTCCTGGAAAAAATTAATTAAAATGAATTAATTTCTTAGAAATTTCAATTAAGAAACGTTATTTTTCTCATTAATTTCTACATAAAGTTTGGCATTTGAGAGAATGTCTGAATGACATGAAACAATAATTTCTGATATTTCTTGTTGAGATAATGAATAATTATTGAAAAGTGAATGAAGAACATTAATTACTTATGTAAATTTAAGTGTAGTTTGTCTCAAATAATTTATTTTTTGTATCAACGAGCAGACATTCAGACTACCCAATTGTAAAATATCACTTCAATGCTTATAAAGCTGTAATTTCTTTTTTGTTTTGCAAAGTGTCGTGCCTCCTGTCTTTTTTTGAAAAGCAAATTATGGCCTTCGCATCACGTCAGTCAACCGAGTTTCCAGAAGATAATCTTGGTGGTCCGTCCGTAAATTGACTTTTAAATAGCGTACACCGTAATTAAAACACGTTGTAAAAAATCGCATAATTAATTATTATATTGACAAATTCATGAAGCGTAATATTTTATGCAAATTTAAGCATACAATTATGTTTTAGGGCGTTAACCGTATTATTAAGTTGCTACCATCGTTTGCGGCTTCCTCATTTGATGACCATCAAGAGGGGTGCTTACAAATAAAGATATTTGAAATAGCTTCATCTGTTTAATACCGCTTGACGCTACATTTATTTTTCTATCCATTTTAAGTATCTACTTTCCCGCGTTACATGCCCAAGAGAGATGTTTGACGTCGAGGGAAATGGTACAAAGGAAATCGATAATTTACCAACAAAAATTGCCTTGGGTAGCTTCAAGTAGATAATAATAATAAAGAAATAATTTCACTTTCAACACGTTGCAAATTGCCATCCGAAATAGTCCACAACCTTCAACTTTTTAAAAATCTTATTAAAGTTACTATCTCGTGAATATACTTACCACTCATAAAGTTATAAATAACGGGATTCACAGCACTGTTGGCGTAACACAGCCAATGCGATATAAGAGATGCTGCTGCTGTGGTGTGTGTCTGTGGCAACCCTATTGTATACCTGTTAATAAATTATAAATCTGTCAAAAATATGATAGGATCTACTAAAAATAGAATAATTTATGTGTTTTCTCTAACTTACCTTAAAGTGTTTATGAGATGAACTGGGAGGTAACATAATCCAAACATGACTATGACAGCGATTAGCATCTTTGCAGCTTTTCTTCGCGAACGAATCTGACTTTCTATTGAATCTTGATTTGTTGTGCATCTAGTGGTTCCTTTCTTTGTATTTTGCGTTACTGTAACTGTATAATATTATTATTTTTTAAGTTAATGAGGTTCATACTTGCTATACATCTAGCGCAGTCGCTCTCAGTCTTTTCGAACTAGTGGCACATTGCATAATAATGCCCTTAGTTAACAAATGAAGATTCTCAATTTTTTATATAAAAATATATGAACAATATTAAAAATTGGAAAGACAATTAGCATTTTAAATAATTTTTGAAACTTTTATGGCATATCTATGAGATGTTCGTGGCACACCGATTGAGAACCAACGATCTACTGGGATCAGTAGGTCCGTATCTAGAATATATATTTAAAAATAAATAGTTTTCTCTGTAAAATTGCTAATTTGTAAGATATAAACTTAGATCCAGAAAACTTTTGATTTTTTAAGCAAAATTAATATAGTTTAGTAATTAATGTTTTAAAATCTAGTATTGCCCAAAAGAGATAAATTTTTTCTATATAAATTTACTTTAAACCGAGTTTTGGGCCGTCCTGTATATTTTAGGCTGCCAGATTACTAATTATAAATTAAATGAATTCAAACCAAAATTGACTTAGCAGCATACTTTTAATTATGGTTTCAGCAAGTACTAATTGATAACTTTAGTTTCAATTCGTGAAACAATAATTAGTGACAATCTGTAGTTTATGTCAAGTCATCGAGAAACACGTCTTTCGGATTTAAAATACATAATTTATGGAACTTTACAAGGAAAAAAGCTATAAAAAAATCTATATATAAAAAATTTAGAGCAGCATCGTTATATATGTAGGCCTATAGTGTGGCCGAAAAGTCAGTTGACATAGTTAACTGACTTTTGAGGCATTTTCTATTTGAAATATAATCCTTTCGAACTTTAACTTCATGATTGTGTTACGTAATGCACATTTCTATTAATTTAGCTTGCATATATACGCTATGCATACTCAAAATACGTATAATTTAAACTATATATTATTAATTATGTATATTATAATTAGAAGAAATTGTGTGTATGTGCGTATATACTTAACATTAATAGCATACGTACAGGCGACATTACTTGTTTTATATTGGCATACGTGTCTGCTGTATGCATTAATATTCAAATACATAACCTACAATCTTTAGGAATCACGATGCGCATTATCTAAGATACGTTTAGGGCCGAAATATACTCGTTGTGGCTCTAAGCTCACTAAATAATAATAAAAGTAAAAAAGCGAGGCCCTAAGCCATAGCTTTCCTATCTTATAGGTAAATCAGGCCCTGCACACGAGGACAACATGCATAGATGTTATTGTCAAAATGTATGCTGCTACATATGATTTAAACAATAGAAATTTACATTTATCTGTCGAATTTAATCCTTATATAAGTAATAGATATGTATATATCCATGGTGCGGTTTTCTTTATATTCCTTTTAAAAAATCAATTTTTTTGAAAAATTAATTCTTATAATTTAGTTTTTTTATACCTTATAACATGTTATAGAATCCCATTTTTATACACCGATATCCTATTATGGATTAACAATTAATGCCAAATTATAGGAAAGTACGCATTTTTATACTATTTAGAAGAAATTCAAAAAATAAAACCTAAAAGTAATATTTAAATGGTAATTTGTAGGCTAATTGTCACGAGCAAGTTCATTGTTCATATTCAGGGTGGACTTTTATCGAGTGTTTTCCGGCAAGTGATTATACTTTACACTTAAAAATTACTATATTATAATAAATATAAAAATTTTTCGAGCTTTAAACACAAATTAAGGTTATAGAATTTAAAAAAAAATGATTAATCAACATTAAATTCCTCACAAACTCTAAAGTTCCACTTAGTTGAATACGAAATAAATCACGTTTCCTCTCGAATTATTGCATTGTATTTATTGTAATTATATAATTTCACATTAAAAATTATAAACATAGTTATTTAAAGTTATAAATTATAACGTATAACTTACCAGTACGCTTAACATTTCGATTTCCGGGGATATTTTTATTCCAAAGAACACGAGCAATCTGATAATAAGTGACTGACATGAGAGCGAAGGGTGCCACATACAATATCAGAACAATAACTAATTGATAAATTTGGGTGTTATCGTCGCTCCACGTGTAAGCACAATCAGTCAAGTAGTGCGTTTCTACTTTTAAACCCGGGTGTAACTTCGTATCCAAAACAATGACGTCTGGTAATACCAAGAGCATAGAGGTAATCCAAATGATTAATATGGCCACCTTGGCTCTTCCAGATGTGCTCTTGAACTTGAGAGGATAACAGATGGCATACCACCGGTCGATAGATATGAAAGTGAGAGTGAGGACAGACACAGAGACAGACACGCTCTGGCAAGAGAAAAATTCATATTGTTTATTTATTTATTGTGATTATTAAATAAAAGATTCAAGATATTTAAGTATATTTTTTCGGTTATAATTTAAACTTCTTAAATAAATAAAGTTTTTAAACATTAATTTAAATTATGTAAAAATTCTTTACCTATTTTTATATAATTTAACTAAAAAATATGATATTAAAAAATTATAAGCTATATTTTATTAGGAAAGTATAGTAATATTAAAGTATATTCTATGTTTATTTTTTGAAGGGGTATTTTGCAGTTTTGAATATCTATATTTTTTGTAAATGGTCAATTTAATTTTTAAAAAATTTTGAAAACAAATTTATTATTTTCTGAAAATTACATTTTTGCACTCAGAAGACCTTCAAACCTCGAGAATTACGAAAAAATTGGGGTTTTTCTCTATGTGGAATGACGTTAGTGCACGCGGGGCTTGATTTTCTTCACCCTCTTTGATGCTTAATAACTTCTACGTCTTTTGTCAAGAATTTCTGAAATTTTGCAGGGATATTTGAGTATTTGAGGGGTTGACGACATTAAATTTTGGCGGTTAAAGGTCGAGGTGGATGGGGAAATAAAGAAGGTCACGCGTTGTATCTGAAATGGGGTTGGATTAAATGAAGATTTTTAGTTCGTAGCATTTACAATATTTCATAAAACTCGTCTCTACTNAAAAATAAATACTGTATTTAAATCGTGATCAAATTTTCAAGAAACAAATGTTTTATTGAATTTGTACTACTACTGACCAGCGCTAACAGACTAGCTATTGTTTAAAAGGCCCTCTGGCGGCTCAAGAAGACGGATTTTATAAAATAAAAAGCAGTTTAAAACTGCATTTTTATGAATAAAAATTTGACAAACTATCGTTTTATGACGAGTAAAATTTTTTCATCGCGGTCTCGGCTTTTAAGTAATGCATTAACCTTCGAGGCGCGAGGCCCTTCGGACCGCCAGGCATAGGCGGTGGCCCACGTTGCCCATACCTTACGCCGCCCTTGGTTATAGAAATGATGTAATTTGAGTATAAAATTATTTATAAATACGTATGTCAAGTTATATTTTTATTATGACGCAAAATATATTTAAGAGTTTACGACCACTGTGCCGGGTGAGACGTTGTTGAAACAAAAAATGTTATGCATTCCATCACGTACATAAACAGTGTCGTAATTCGCCTGATGCAAATCAGCAAATTCGTAAAATTTTTGTTTATTTTGAACAATCCGGATAATCGAAAATCCGGATAATAGAGGTCCGGATAATCGAGGTTCTACTGTAAATTATAATTCTAAGCTTTAGAAGACGAATTTGTAAACAAAAAAAAAATAGTCAGACAAACAAACTGACTCAGTAAAAATGAGAAAAAATCTGACGAAAATGGCTAAATTTATTATAAGAATGACCATTGAAGATCGATGGCGAATAGAAAATCCCGTGACAAAATGAGTAAATCAATACAGAAATAAGTTAATTAAGTTAACATCATATTCGATTCACATTAAATCAATTGATTTAATTATTTTAAAATTTTTTGTGGCTTCATTTTCAACAAAATATTTTTCTATTCATTTTTAAATATAAAAATATTTGTATGGAAAAATTAACTGTAGCTAAAGCAACCATTATTTTAATCATACATATAGAAACTGCAATGTCCAGTCTAATTTTTCTTTAGAAATTGTACTTCTTTGTGCAATTTTTCTAAGGAAACTACTCTATGCAAGTGTTCTACAGAAATTCCAATGTTCTGTGCAAATTTTTAAACAGTAATTGCACTGCTCTATACAAATTTTCTACAGAAATAAACTGCTGTGTTCAATTTTTCGATATAAACTGCACTGTTATGTACAATTTTATATAAAAAATGCACTGCTGTGTACAATGTTTCTGTATAAATTGCACTGCTCTACATCTAAAAAGAAAAATTGTTTTCAAATACAGAACAGAACAATTTTTGTAGAAAATGTATTATATTGGTTTAAAATCTGATCCAATTTCTTGCCAAGGTTTTACTCTTAATAGCGTTATAAAATTAAAAAGATAATTAATACTAATTAATTGATAATTTTTTACTTTGTTAAAAATATTGAAAAAAATGTTAATTTTTCCTCTTAACAATTTTTATTTTATTTTTTCTAAAATTCGATTTTCTAAAAAATGAAACATTTTGAGTTTAATTTAACTTAACAGAATAATGAAAACAAAAAGAAAAATTATCTTAATTTTTTATTTTACGAAATTTTTTTCTCGGTTTACTTTTAAAAAAAATTGAATGTTAATATTTTAATAAAATTTTTTATATGGAATTTATTACTGAGTTTTTAAAATTTTTAAGAAAATTGTTTTAATCCTGTTTAATAATTTTTTAAAATAAATTTTATAATTTCACTTATCTACAATGAGAAATATTCAATATGGAAATAAGATTTTGAATTCAATTTGAAACCAACCAATCAGCGTTAAGATAATCGAATTTCCGACCAATCGCCTTTAAAAGTACATAAAATTTTTCAACCATTGTATCTTACATATTTAACGTGTTAGACCTCAAGAGAATTTAAGTTGATATCATTTTTCTTGACAGTTTCTAAAGTTTCTGTATGTCTGTCCTAGAATAAATACTTATTATTAATATAATTATTCTTGTATTACTTACTGACTTATTGTTTTAATGAACTGCATTATAAATCAAATACTACTTTCCTTTGTAATGTCTGCATTTTGACCGAGTATATTAAATTAATTACAATTTCCTGAATTGTGGACAAATTATTCGCCTTATTGATTAAGCACAGGAAATTCGTTTAAGACTGAATAAGGTTAATGCAAATTTGATTATTCAGTAAAAGAAGCAATTATGGAATGTTTAATTCGGTAAAAATCAACATGCGATTGCTATTTGTAATTAATATTGAACGTATCTGTTAGCTTTAACGTACAAACGTAGCCTTAATCGATTAAACTAGGCATATTTTGCATTAATAGATTAAAATGGATATACCTAACGTTAATCATATTTGTATGCGTCCTTACAGTAAAAATTTATATAAATCCTTAATCGAGTCAAACCTCTGGATAGAGCCTCAATCGATTCAAATATCTGTACCTAGTTATAATACTAGTAAGTATCCTTAATTAATTAAAATCGATACGGTGCCTTAATCGATTTAAATATTTCTACATTGTATTAATTACAATACAATTCAGTTTTACTTCTCTGAGTATTAAATACTAAAATTACATATGGTACTTAGTCTTATTTGTATGCATTTTTAATCAAATAAAACTTACCAGGAGCCTTAATCAATTTGAATAATTTATACGAACTTAATCGAAATACCAATAAACCCTTAATCTGAGTAAAGTATTTATAATTAGCCTTAGACAATAACAATATACTTAATTAAATGCATACGCAGTTTTAGTCAACGAGTGGGTCTTAATTAATGTCTAAAAATTAATCTTAATTACTAAAAAATACAGTATTTATATAGGTCTTGTACAATCGAACATTGCCTGTAAATAGCCTTAATAAATTGAACATTTTGAGCTTTCTCTATAGAATAAAAGCCAAATGTTAAAGCTCGAAGAAAATAACGATAAGTTTTTAGATTTTAATTCTGAATTAATTGAAGAATTTTAGCTAAAATCCCTTGATTTAAAAATGAAACAAGCACCTGTTCAAAATATATGGTTCAGAATAGGGCCTTCTTATGAGGCATGACATTTGGGGCTTTAAAAGAATGTATTACAAATTATCCATTCTGTCGACATTCTTCTGCATTAAGAAAAAGTTTTGTTTAATTATTTATTTTTATTTTTTTGAAAATAAGAGGCCCTGGGAATAATCCGGGTCTCTGCCTAGGCAGCTATAAGGCCATACTTAACTACTCGCAAAATTCTAAGATTTATGTCAATAAAAACAAATAAAATAACTACATTTTATTTGGAAATTTTGAAAATTTCATTAAATTAAAAAGATGGTTTGTTTGCCTGTTTTTTACATCAAAAATGACAATTAATTCTTCCTTATTATTATATAATAATTAACTTTAAAGTAAATAAAATATCAAAAACATTCTTAAAATAGAATTAAAAGGTGAGAAAATTGTGTTTAGTCAAGTAGAACACTTTAATGACGAACCATTGAGGAAAATCCAAAGTTGATGTGGTAAATAAACTAGCATCAAATAGCCTAAAATACCAATTTAAAAAGTTATTTACTTTAAAGAGTTCAATTTAGAATTTTACACAATTATAACGCCATAAAGTTTACCGTAACTTGTTCGGAAGATTCACACAGTTAATTGATTCATGGGCCACCATGCACATAAAATTAAAACTAAACAATTAAAGAAATGGGACAAGTCACCATCTTGTTTCATTGTAACGAAAATATCATTTGTTGATGTTGTCGAAACCGTGAAGAAAATATCATTGTCAAGAATCGTAACAGAGCTCAAAATTTGAACCCAAATTTGTAGCCTTCAGATTAAAATATTGGGATCAAATTGTGAATTTTTATGAAAATTTGGACTAAATACAATGTAGTTGGATTCAAATTTTGGAATAAAAACGGCGAATTTTTGCTCAAATTTGAGACTGAATTCAAAATGGCGTAAAGGAAAAACTACTGTATTTAACATTCACTGATGATAATTATATCAAATTTTGAAAATATGACACTGATAATGCTACAGATTTAGCTATAAAGTCTCATTAAGACAGAAACAATTAGAAAAATTAAAAAAAAACTTAAAAATTTGAATAAAATTGGCATCTTGATGACTTTTACAGGTGTTTATGCTCGGGATAAACAATTACATATACAGTAGAACCTCGATTATCCGGACTAATTGGGGATGAAGGTAGTCCGGATAAGGAAAAATCCGGATAATCGAAANATATTGTTGAGCATTTCCTCTAGAAATACAGCACTAGTATTAATAAATTTTATTGTTTCGAGCAGAAAGCTCATACATAATTATATTTTTATTATTATTATACTTGGAACATGAATGAAATAATTAACATCTTTACACACGTGTTTACAAAAAGAAAAGAAAAATCACCAAAAATTCGGAATTATATTTTCAAATTACTTCTTCAGAGATCTGAAAGTCGGTGTTTGACTATTGATTTCAGATTCTTGAATTGTGAATAACATACAAAATGATTTCCTGAATTCTCTTCGAAATTTTCCTGGAAAAAATTAATTAAAATGAATTAATTTCTTAGAAATTTCAATTAAGAAATGTTATTTTTCTCATTAATTTCTACATAAAGTTTGGCATTTGAGAGAATGTCTGAATGACATGAAACAATAATTTCTGATATTTCTTGTTGAGATAATGAATAATTATTGAAAAGTGAATGAAGAGCATTAATTACTTATGTAAATTTAAGTGTAGTTTGTCTCAAATAATTTATTTTTTGTATCAACGAGCAGACATTCAGACTACCCAATTGTAAAATATCACTTCAATGCTTATAAAGCTGTAATTTCTTTTTTGTTTTGCAAAGTGTCGTGCCTCCTGTCTTTTTTTGAAAAGCAAATTATGGCCTTCGCATCACGTCAGTCAACCGAGTTTCCAGAAGATAATCTTGGTGGTCCGTCCGTAAATTGACTTTTAAATAGCGTACACCGTAATTAAAACACGTTGTAAAAAATCGCATAATTAATTATTATATTGACAAATTCATGAAGCGTAATATTTTATGCAAATTTAAGCATACAATTATGTTTTAGGGCGTTAACCGTATTATTAAGTTGCTACCATCGTTTGCGGCTTCCTCATTTGATGACCATCAAGAGGGGTGCTTACAAATAAAGATATTTGAAATAGCTTCATCTGTTTAATACCGCTTGACGCTACATTTATTTTTCTATCCATTTTAAGTATCTACTTTCCCGCGTTACATGCCCAAGAGAGATGTTTGACGTCGAGGGAAATGGTACAAAGGAAATCGATAATTTACCAACAAAAATTGCCTTGGGTAGCTTCAAGTAGATAATAATAATAAAGAAATAATTTCACTTTCAACACGTTGCAAATTGCCATCCGAAATAGTCCACAACCTTCAACTTTTTAAAAATCTTATTAAAGTTACTATCTCGTGAATATACTTACCACTCATAAAGTTATAAATAACGGGATTCACAGCACTGTTGGCGTAACACAGCCAATGCGATATAAGAGATGCTGCTGCTGTGGTGTGTGTCTGTGGCAACCCTATTGTATACCTGTTAATAAATTATAAATCTGTCAAAAATATGATAGGATCTACTAAAAATAGAATAATTTATGTGTTTGTTTCTCTAACTTACCTTAAAGTGTTTATGAGATGAACTGGGAGGTAACATAATCCAAACATGACTATGACAGCGATTAGCATCTTTGCAGCTTTTCTTCGCGAACGAATCTGACTTTCTATTGAATCTTGATTTGTTGTGCATCTAGTGGTTCCTTTCTTTGTATTTTGCGTTACTGTAACTGTATAATATTATTATTTTTTAAGTTAATGAGGTTCATACTTGCTATACATCTAGCGCAGTCGCTCTCAGTCTTTTCGAACTAGTGGCACATTGCATAATAATGCCCTTAGTTAACAAATGAAGATTCTCAATTTTTTATATAAAAATATATGAACAATATTAAAAATTGGAAAGACAATTAGCATTTTAAATAATTTTTGAAACTTTTATGGCATATCTATGAGATGTTCGTGGCACACCGATTGAGAACCAACGATCTACTGGGATCAGTAGGTCCGTATCTAGAATATATATTTAAAAATAAATAGTTTTCTCTGTAAAATTGCTAATTTGTAAGATATAAACTTAGATCCAGAAAACTTTTGATTTTTTAAGCAAAATTAATATAGTTTAGTAATTAATGTTTTAAAATCTAGTATTGCCCAAAAGAGATAAATTTTTTCTATATAAATTTACTTTAAACCGAGTTTTGGGCCGTCCTGTATATTTTAGGCTGCCAGATTACTAATTATAAATTAAATGAATTCAAACCAAAATTGACTTAGCAGCATACTTTTAATTATGGTTTCAGCAAGTACTAATTGATAACTTTAGTTTCAATTCGTGAAACAATAATTAGTGACAATCTGTAGTTTATGTCAAGTCATCGAGAAACACGTCTTTCGGATTTAAAATACATAATTTATGGAACTTTACAAGGAAAAAAGCTATAAAAAAATCTATATATAAAAAATTTAGAGCAGCATCGTTATATATGTAGGCCTATAGTGTGGCCGAAAAGTCAGTTGACATAGTTAACTGACTTTTGAGGCATTTTCTATTTGAAATATAATCCTTTCGAACTTTAACTTCATGATTGTGTTACGTAATGCACATTTCTATTAATTTAGCTTGCATATATACGCTATGCATACTCAAAATACGTATAATTTAAACTATATATTATTAATTATGTATATTATAATTAGAAGAAATTGTGTGTATGTGCGTATATACTTAACATTAATAGCATACGTACAGGCGACATTACTTGTTTTATATTGGCATACGTGTCTGCTGTATGCATTAATATTCAAATACATAACCTACAATCTTTAGGAATCACGATGCGCATTATCTAAGATACGTTTAGGGCCGAAATATACTCGTTGTGGCTCTAAGCTCACTAAATAATAATAAAAGTAAAAAAGCGAGGCCCTAAGCCATAGCTTTCCTATCTTATAGGTAAATCAGGCCCTGCACACGAGGACAACATGCATAGATGTTATTGTCAAAATGTATGCTGCTACATATGATTTAAACAATAGAAATTTACATTTATCTGTCGAATTTAATCCTTATATAAGTAATAGATATGTATATATCCATGGTGCGGTTTTCTTTATATTCCTTTTAAAAAATCAATTTTTTTGAAAAATTAATTCTTATAATTTAGTTTTTTTATACCTTATAACATGTTATAGAATCCCATTTTTATACACCGATATCCTATTATGGATTAACAATTAATGCCAAATTATAGGAAAGTACGCATTTTTATACTATTTAGAAGAAATTCAAAAAATAAAACCTAAAAGTAATATTTAAATGGTAATTTGTAGGCTAATTGTCACGAGCAAGTTCATTGTTCATATTCAGGGTGGACTTTTATCGAGTGTTTTCCGGCAAGTGATTATACTTTACACTTAAAAATTACTATATTATAATAAATATAAAAATTTTTCGAGCTTTAAACACAAATTAAGGTTATAGAATTTAAAAAAAAATGATTAATCAACATTAAATTCCTCACAAACTCTAAAGTTCCACTTAGTTGAATACGAAATAAATCACGTTTCCTCTCGAATTATTGCATTGTATTTATTGTAATTATATAATTTCACATTAAAAATTATAAACATAGTTATTTAAAGTTATAAATTATAACGTATAACTTACCAGTACGCTTAACATTTCGATTTCCGGGGATATTTTTATTCCAAAGAACACGAGCAATCTGATAATAAGTGACTGACATGAGAGCGAAGGGTGCCACATACAATATCAGAACAATAACTAATTGATAAATTTGGGTGTTATCGTCGCTCCACGTGTAAGCACAATCAGTCAAGTAGTGCGTTTCTACTTTTAAACCCGGGTGTAACTTCGTATCCAAAACAATGACGTCCGGTAATACCAAGAGCATAGAGGTAATCCAAATGATTAATATGGCCACCTTGGCTCTTCCAGATGTGCTCTTGAACTTGAGAGGATAACAGATGGCATACCACCGGTCGATAGATATGAAAGTGAGAGTGAGGACAGACACAGAGACAGACACGCTCTGGCAAGAGAAAAATTCATATTGTTTATTTATTTATTGTGATTATTAAATAAAAGATTCAAGATATTTAAGTATATTTTTTCGGTTATAATTTAAACTTCTTAAATAAATAAAGTTTTTAAACATTAATTTAAATTATGTAAAAATTCTTTACCTATTTTTATATAATTTAACTAAAAAATATGATATTAAAAAATTATAAGCTATATTTTATTAGGAAAGTATAGTAATATTAAAGTATATTCTATGTTTATTTTTTGAAGGGGTATTTTGCAGTTTTGAATATCTATATTTTTTGTAAATGGTCAATTTAATTTTTAAAAAATTTTGAAAACAAATTTATTATTTTCTGAAAATTACATTTTTGCACTCAGAAGACCTTCAAACCTCGAGAATTACGAAAAAATTGGGGTTTTTCTCTATGTGGAATGACGTTAGTGCACGCGGGGCTTGATTTTCTTCACCCTCTTTGATGCTTAATAACTTCTACGTCTTTTGTCAAGAATTTCTGAAATTTTGCAGGGATATTTGAGTATTTGAGGGGTTGACGACATTAAATTTTGGCGGTTAAAGGTCGAGGTGGATGGGGAAATAAAGAAGGTCACGCGTTGTATCTGAAATGGGGTTGGATTAAATGAAGATTTTTAGTTCGTAGCATTTACAATATTTCATAAAACTCGTCTCTACTCTCAAAATCAAGCTTTTGGCCATTTTATAAAAACATAATATAAAAAGATTTTAAAAATTAAAATCTAATAACAGATGGCGCGATACGCAATTTTAACTCTCACCCGGAAAGTTACTCAACTCATTGCTGGATTTTTTGAAAATGTGATTTATATTTTTTACAAAAAATATTGTTAGAAACATGAAATTTATCGAAAACTAAAATTTTGTGGAAGAAAAAAAAAACAAATTTAAAAATGAGTTACATTTTCTATAAAAAGCAATTTTGAAATGTATTTAATTTTCACTTTTCAACAGTGCATTTTATGAGAGAACAATTCTCATTTTTACTTGTTTTAATTTTTTTTCTGGAGAAAAAAAATGTAATTTTTAATTTAAAAAAAAGTATATTTCGGACAACCAAACAATGTGAAATATTCGCAGAACATTTTCTATAAAAAATTTATTTTATTTTAAGCGAGAAATAAATAAAATTTTGGAAAAGAATTTTGTCTGTTTTTTTTTTTTTTTTGACGAATTGTATTTAAGCAAATGGACAGACAGATCGATGTTCTATTGGTTCAATGCGCAATTGTTCCAAGTCGGAGTTAATCGAAACGTGAAATGAGTTATTCTGATTTCATTTTCTTCTCAAAAGAATCTCCTTCCATCATATTCGCTCCAAAATAAATTCACTAATCATTCTTTCTCCATTTACTTTTCAAATTTCTTAAATATTTATTTAAACGTGGCTTTTTTTTATTGTGCTTAATAGGATGAAACAAGCTTAAAACGTGCATTTAAACGTAATTTTTGCACTCCCCATCAAAAAATGCAAAAAAATAAATTTATTGCTACATCATCACAATGACGGGCTGCAGTTTTGAATCATGTTTTTATTTTATTTAATTTAAAATATATGCTCTCCATCTCAAATTAATAGTGGTTTGCCCCTATACGTAATTATTATTCTCTAACAATAGAGTCGTGTCGGGCATCTTTCAGAAGGAGATTTGAACAGATACAACATGGCTTCCGGTGGTAACTGAAAGTTCGTATGTAGTTAATCGGAGCCTCCTGCCAAAAAGGTTTCCATATGTGCTCTTGAGTTTTATATATCGAACACTATTCTCGAGATTAAGAAATGACAGACAGACGGTCGGACAGACAACAGTGGTAATTTATAGGTCTACAATTTTTCAAATTGCAGCTTAAATAGGAAGAAGGATTTTGCGATTGGAAGAAGTTATCGAGCAAGAGTATGATATTTCTAAAAACCAGCTTTTATAACAAAAATGGCATTTTTAATAATTAAATAATTAATTACTTTTTAAATTTTGTTCATTTTTTTAGAATTCTTAGTTTGCATTGAGAATTGTTTAGTAGAATTATTTATATATTTTATACACTGAAGTGAATGTATTTAAAGTTATGTATGTGTATAACGGTTGAACAGGGAAAAAAAAACAAAATTTTACATAAATTTCAATAGCCAGGTCTAGCAAACTTATATAAGGCTGTATTCTGGTGCATTTATCTAAAGATGTGCATCATCTAAACTATGTCTCAGCAAATGATGTAGAACCTAAACAGTGCCATAGTCGATATAACACTTAAACTGCCTCAGTAAAGTGAGGCGTCATTTAATAATGTCCTAGTAAAATGATGTGCCAACTACGTCTTAGTTGCAAATTAAAGTGTAAAACTCCTAAACAACGTCACAGTAGAGTAAAAAACTGCCTAAACCAAGTAGTCCCAGTAGAGTAAATACACCTAACCACTCCTAGTAGAGTAAAAACGCCTTAACTACACAGTGCAATGATATGGCATTTAATCCGTTTCTCACTAGAGATAATTATGTATCACCTAATTACATAACAAACTAATATTTTAGCATGTTACTAAACTCTCAGCCCTTCATTGAACGACATGTTACTTCACTGAAACATAGTTTAAATACTTATGTCATTAATTACTACATATATCAATATAACTTATATATTATAAAACATGATTATTCAGCATAATTATAAATCTGTGTTCTAGGGGAGCATAGTAAGATATAATGGTGCATAGGTATGTTTTTAGTGAGGTAAAGCGCAAGAAGATTTTATCGGAATGATGGATAACTCTTCACATAGCAATTCATAACAAGAGACTGCACTCAATCGATAGAGCCGTAAAGTAGAGCAAGAGAAACTGTTGCACTTTCTAGTCGATAGAAATTACAAGTAAATGCTATTTTGTCACAAAGCTACTTGATTAACGTTATGCTATTAAATATGTAAATAGCTTAATAATATTCCCCTTAAGCATTTTTCTCATCTAATGTACGAAAGGAATTAAATTTTAATATTAATCAAGTCATACAAATAAATATTTAAATATTTTATAAACTAAATGATATCGTTAATGTATAAAGTAATAATAAGATTTAAATTGTAAAAAATCTACTTATTTATTTGCTTTTTATTCTAATTTTAATAATTTATATGTAAATATATAACCTTTCAGGCATTTTAACTATTTACTATTATTTTTATTTTTTAAATTAAAGTAACGTAAATTGAATTTTTAAATTATTTTAAAATTTTTTGTGGCTTCATTTTCAACAAAATATTTTTCTATTCATTTTTAAATATAAAAATATTTGTATGGAAAAATTAACTGTAGCTAAAGCAACCATTATTTTAATCATACATATAGAAACTGCAATGTCCAGTCTAATTTTTCTTTAGAAATTGTACTTCTTTGTGCAATTTTTCTAAGGAAACTACTCTATGCAAGTGTTCTACAGAAATTCCAATGTTCTGTGCAAATTTTAAAACAGTAATTGCACTGCTCTATACAAATTTTCTACAGAAATAAACTGCTGTGTTCAATTTTTCGATATAAACTGCACTGTTATGTACAATTTTATATAAAAAATGCACTGCTGTGTACAATGTTTCTGTATAAATTGCACTGCTCTACATCTAAAAAGAAAAATTGTTTTCAAATACAGAACAGAACAATTTTTGTAGAAAATTTATTATATTGGTTTAAAATCTGATCCAATTTCTTGCCAAGGTTTTACTCTTAATAGCGTTATAAAATTAAAAAGATAATTAATACTAATTAATTGATAATTTTTTACTTTGTTAAAAATATTGAAAAAAATGTTAATTTTTCCTCTTAACAATTTTTATTTTATTTTTTCTAAAATTCGATTTTCTAAAAAATGAAACATTTTGAGTTTAATTTAACTTAACAGAATAATGAAAACAAAAAGAAAAATTATCTTAATTTTTTATTTTACGAAATTTTTTTCTCGGTTTACTTTTAAAAAAAATTGAATGTTAATATTTTAATAAAATTTTTTATATGGAATTTATTACTGAGTTTTTAAAATTTTTAAGAAAATTGTTTTAATCCTGTTTAATAATTTTTTAAAATAAATTTTATAATTTCACTTATCTACAATGAGAAATATTCAATATGGAAATAAGATTTTGAATTCAATTTGAAACCAACCAATCAGCGTTAAGATAATCGAATTTCCGACCAATCGCCTTTAAAAGTACATAAAATTTTTCAACCATTGTATCTTACATATTTAACGTGTTAGACCTCAAGAGAATTTAAGTTGATATCATTTTTCTTGACAGTTTCTAAAGTTTCTGTATGTCTGTCCTAGAATAAATACTTATTATTAATATAATTATTCTTGTATTACTTACTGACTTATTGTTTTAATGAACTGCATTATAAATCAAATACTACTTTCCTTTGTAATGTCTGCATTTTGACCGAGTATATTAAATTAATTACAATTTCCTGAATTGTGGACAAATTATTCGCCTTATTGATTAAGCACAGGAAATTCGTTTAAGACTGAATAAGGTTAATGCAAATTTGATTATTCAGTAAAAGAAGCAATTATGGAATGTTTAATTCGGTAAAAATCAACATGCGATTGCTATTTGTAATTAATATTGAACGTATCTGTTAGCTTTAACGTACAAACGTAGCCTTAATCGTTTAAACTAGGCATATTTTGCATTAATAGATTAAAATGGATATACCTAACGTTAATCATATTTGTATGCGTCCTTACAGTAAAAATTTATATAAATCCTTAATCGAGTCAAACCTCTGGATAGAGCCTCAATCGATTCAAATATCTGTACCTAGTTATAATACTAGTAAGTATCCTTAATTAATTAAAATCGATACGGTGCCTTAATCGATTTAAATATTTCTACATTGTATTAATTACAATACAATTCAGTTTTACTTCTCTGAGTATTAAATACTAAAATTACATATGGTACTTAGTCTTATTTGTATGCATT